TTAAAGATTGATATGGAAGTGAATACAAGAACATCTTAAAAGACTGCAAAGTTAGGGATTTCTCAACAAGACATAACACACGTAGGTAAATACTTCTTGAACAAGTCATGAATAAGTTCGTACACCTGAGATAGTGGCGTGCAACATCACCCCTTCCATACCTACCTACTTACCAAGCATGTATTGTACATGTTGTACGATCGTTCTTGCTTTTTCTAATCCTGATATCTACGACTGTAACCACACCACAACAAGCTTGAACTGCAAAAACGATCAAGATGAGTGATATTCGCAATCTGAGTTTTACACAGTTTCATGAGTCATGACAAGTCAGACTTGAGAGAATAAATATACACTCGGATGAGTTTGCTTGACACATTCGTCGAACGTGAAAAAGACTCAAGCCATGTAGCTCGCGTCCCTTTGCGCTTCATGGGCTTGTATGGACAATCTGTGATCATCACTCTTTCGATATTGATAAGATAGAAACCGCTTGCATGGCGCATCATATCATAGCAACTATGCGGTGTCACGGCATCGTGTGTGTCGACAGTTCATCACTTATTATATTCATCATGACAAGGCGATGCATCAAATCAAAAAATACAAATTTACAAAGATTGGAATGTATGGCCAATCATTGCGACCCTTCCTATAGTGAAAAAGGAAGCGCCGCACCCAAGATCGATCAATTTCTCTCCATTTCGACTGACGATTCTCAAGGTCGTGGAAACCTCACATCATCACGAATGACGACGGGTTTCTCACCGAAAATGCTTTATAGCGAATGTGATGTATGCGTTGTACTTCCGAAGAAGTTTGTGAAGAAGAAAAAAGAGAAACTTTGGGAAGTTTCTGAAGCTTTTTATGTTCAATTTTTTTCATTCGCTTAATCATCCATGATCGAGACCATCTTAGGATTAGTGTCAATCACCCCACCACTCAACCCGCGAAATGGGACAAGCCTGACAAAAAAACTTATTGACTGACCTATTGCCCCGCGTTGAATTATAATTTGTAACAAACTTCATCGTTTGATTCAAAATCTCCAGATTTCTATTCATTTAAAGTACGTGATAAATTGATCAATTCCCATCTCTTTTTCCTTCAATTCGAATCAATTACTTTTTTCACTCACACAGATTCTTGCAGTACAACACAATGTCTGCCCAAAAGACTGGTCAGTTAGTCTTATGCCATTCAAATATAGAACGGGAAGATCGTAATTAATAGAACCTCTTCGACTGACATGATTCAATAGCTATCATTTCTGTCTATGACAAGAAGGGGCTTCTTGATTTGGCCAAGGGATTGATCAAGCAGAATGTTCGTCTTCTTGCCTCAGGTGGGACCTCTAAAATGATTAGAGAGTCCGGTTTCCCAGTTGAGTAAGACACTCCTTACCTTTCACCGTTTGAGCTTGTCAACCTTGAAACCCTCATCACCAATGCGATAATATATCATTTACATCTCTAACGTGTAAAATTAGAGATGTTTCTGCAATCACTCATGCCCCAGAGATGTTGGGTGGTAGAGTCAAGACGCTCCATCCATCAGTTCACGCCGGTATCCTTGCTCGCGACCTTGCATCTGACGAAAAAGATCTCGCAGAGCAGAACATCGACAAAGTAGACTACGTCATCTGCAATCTTTACCCTTTCAAGGAGACAATCAACAAGATTAATGTTACCATCCCTGAAGCTGTCGAGGATATTGATATCGGAGGAGTTACTTTGATCAGAGCTGCTGCCAAAAACCACACACGAGTCACAATCTTGACCGACCCAGGAGATTATCCAGAATTCTTGGAAGAACTTGAGAAGGGCGATGTCACAGAGCGTAGCAGAAAGTTGTATGCATTGAAGGCATTTGAACATACTGCGGATTATGACGCTTCCATCTCGGATTATTTCCGTAAGCAATATGCTGGAGAGGGCGTACAACAACTTGCTTTGAGATATGGTGCCAACCCACACCAGAAGCCTGCTCAAGCCTACGTCAGTGAGGGACCTATGCCATTCAAGGTTCTTTGTGGCTCCCCAGGATATGTCAATCTTTTAGACGCTCTCAATGCATGGCCTTTAGTTAAGGAGCTCAAGGCCGCCCTTGGTCACCCAGCAGCGGCCAGTTTCAAGCACGTCTCACCTGCAGGTGCTGCCATTGGTGTCCCCCTCACAGCTGATGAGCGCAAAGTCTACATGGTCGATGACATTGCTGGTTTGGAGAATTCTCCTTTGGCTCAGGCATACGCACGTGCCAGAGGTGCAGACCGAATGAGCAGTTTCGGAGATATGATTGCGTTGAGCGATATTGTTGATGTTCCAACCGCCAAGATTATTTCCAGAGAAGTTTCAGATGGTGTTATTGCTCCAGGCTACGAGGATGCTGCCCTTGAGATCTTGAGAAAAAAGAAGGGTGGTAAATACCTTGTCCTTCAAATGGACCCTGACTTCACACCACCTACACAAGAGACAAGAACCGTTTACGGTATTAATTTGAGCCAACGCCGCAACGATATTGTCATTTCCCCCAAGTCATTCTCTTCCATCATCACACCAAAAGAGTCCGCCCCTCTTTCCGACTCAGCTGTCCGAGACTTGACAGTGGCTACTATCGCCTTGAAATACACACAAAGTAACTCTGTTTGCTACGCTCTAAACGGTCAAGTTATTGGCTTAGGAGCTGGTCAACAATCTCGCATCCATTGCACCAGACTTGCCGGAGATAAGGCCGATAACTGGTGGCTGAGGTTTCATCCACGTGTTCTGGGTATCAAGTTCAAGACTGGTACCAAGCGCCCTGACAAGAGCAATGCAATTGATCTCCTCGTCAGTGGCGAATTGCCAAAATCTGGTCCAGAGCGTGAAGGATACGAAGGGTTCTTTGAAGAGGTTCCTGCTGAGTTCACCGATAAGGAGAGAGAAGAATGGATGTCGAAACTCACTCAAGTTGCAGTTTCCAGTGATGCATTTGTAAGTTTATGTTATTTATATTCTCTCATTTTGTAAACTACTAACATTACTAGTTCCCATTCATCGACAATGTCTACCGTGCTGCAAGATCAGGTGTCAAGTACATTGCTGCACCAAGTGGCAGTCAAAATGATTCATATGTCTTTGAAACTGCTGAAAAGCTTGACATCACATTTGTCGAGCAAAGCATTCGTTTGTTCCACCACTAAATTGTCTATTCCGTAAAGTTCGGGATAGCGAGCGGATATTGCAAGGTTGGAAATCTTGCTTCAACCCATTTGAGGGAAAAATTCTAGAGATACCCTACCATAGAAACGACCCACAGGGCGTAACGTGATATGAAAATTCAACATTTGTGACTATTTTTTAATTGAGCTTTCAGGCACATTTTTTCTTTGCTATCATGCATGCTCATGAAGTACCTATATGTAATATAATCCACGTGCATAATCAGAGTAAGACAAAAATCATCGAATTCTTGCGACTTCCTGAAACGTAGGATTGGGCAGGAAATGATAAGACCGTTCTTGTCGACCCATCGGCCCAGACATGCAGCCATGACTTTCAACTGAAAACACGAATCTGCAACATGCAAAGGACTTTTTTTTAGAACATTATTATACCATCCGGGGTTTAATAATGTTGAAAAGGCGTTTGTAAATTGTAGGTGTCGGTTTTCACTGGTGCGTTCAACACCTGAGAGGATAGATGATGGGTGAATGGAGTCAGCACTAGAACCACGGTTTGTCTTGTGCAGCAGGGTGTTCGTACGGGTAACTGCTTGCATTAGTATTCAGTTCAGATAGCCTATTCGTGCTTATGATCTATTATATTATTATCGTTACTGTTCTTGTTATCGTTACATCTAGATTTCTAATGGAACGGATGAGCGGGAATTCGCGAAAGGCGTCTGGATTGTGTTTGTCTTTGATCTGTTCAAAATAGAAACAGACCTATGGGAAATATCTTGGAATGGATTGCATGGGTTCAATAAAAGATATCTCTGGAAAAATGATTTGAATTTATAGTTTGATCTAATCAATTTTTTAATACTCTACAGCCAGTAATACTGATACGGATGAATGTGTATGCGGGTACTATCACATCTTTTAAATATAGAATCTTTTATCTGGATGTACAATGTGTGTGTATGTACCTATGTATGGTACCTGCCTCGAGCCTGCATCGTGCAGTGCGTGGATGCTTGATAAATCTAATGGGTATTCTTTTGCATTATGATTAATTGCCTGGTAGTGTTTTCCTTCATACTCCGTAGATAAAGTTAAAATATCGCAAAAATAGTTCTTTAATATCGCAGGAAAATCTATCTATTGGATATCAATCGATATTGAAATTCTCTATCGATTGATCAAACGATAGATGTCCAAGCTTCTTTTGATAATGAAGGTTTGATTGGATTCTGAAGATCAATACGGTAGATATCGTAGAGAGACTTTGGTGATGCTGGTTAAGGGTCCATCAGAAATGGTACTTGTGGTTCTTACAGAAGTAGATGCCGCCAAGTCCGTGCTGATGAAGGGGAAGGATGGATAAATCGCGATTGGTGCTGACATACCTAGCAAGTTTTTTTTTTACCGCCCGAGCTAGTCCTCGCTAATGCGGATAGGCTGGGGGAGTAGTTGCTGTTTTAGTTGTGTAAGAATTATCTCAATCAACAAATGCAACCAAAAGTCTGGAATCAATATACGAATTGTGATTCTTGTCCCCTGTTCATTCATCGTGCACACCATGTTCAGAACTAAAAGCAGCATGTACATCACTAACAAATCATAGCCGAAAGATTCGATTTTCACTCTCACTCGCATGTGTTTCCTTCAAGCATTAATATCTGTTTCCTCCAATCATATCCTGATCTGCATCGTTCACACATCCAATATGCAGATGCAAAGTGCCAAAGAGGTCAGCCCGGGAGTATTGAAGGGAATTGAAATCCCCCGCTCTGCAAATCATCGATAAAGACCAGGTCAGAAAATGGCCCTGAGTGGTGGTGTAGTGAAGAGTGGGCGCCAAAAAAAAGATGAGAGATGGGTAGTACCACCTTACTCATTTGCTTCTACCCGTGTAATTTCTGCTTGCAATCTTCTGTCTTCTATATCGTTTTCAATTTTCTCTATCTCTTTCTGTATGTTCGAAAGTATCTTTTCTGTATTTTTGATATTCCTCTCGTGGCTGAAAAATCCAGCAAATGTCGAATCATTTATATTAAATCTCACTCAGCCTTGTGTTGAGACCGCAGTTCTTGCCCCCATCAATCTAGACAATATATCCACGGGAAGAACCACACACTTTCTACTTTTGTTTAGTTCGCGCGAATAAAAAAACGCATCTTTGATGCACACTACCAGCGGGCGTCTATTTTGGTCCCAATATCTGTAAGGTTAGACCCCACCATTCATCCAGTTATATTCTTTTCCTTCAGTGCGAGGCCAATATTTGGCCACTAGGTGTCCGATATCCTGGTCTTGCATCTGATCTACAAGTCATATCATTGCTCTCCATCTCCCGCTTTCTTCAAACAGTCGTGCGAAGCTTGGAATTTTATTCCAATTTCTTGCTTTTGTCATTGTTGCGCGCGCTACACAAAACCCTACGGCATCCCCTCATCTTCAAGAACTGTTTTGTCTTTTTTCTCCCTTGGTAGCTGGTCTCTAATTGTACAACCTTTTCTTCCTTTAACCGATTTACTTGCTTGCACTTCCATTGATAGTGCTTTTGGTCAAGTCTCTTTTGGCCTCACGATATACTCGAGTAACTTGCGTCAATTTGTTCTTCCTTTTCAATTCATCACAATGTCATGTTAGTAGTCTGACTATCATTTATCGTTGATGTATCCGTATGCTCATTGATTTGTTTAGCACCACCAACAAACAAGAGGCGTCCACCTCCCCTCACACAGTCACGATCCTCTAGCGATTCATCTACAGCTTCATCAGCTTCATCACTCAAAGTTCCTCGGACACCCAGATTCGCCGAAGCGACGGCTGTATACTCTCCTATAGATGATAAGAGATCACCATTTGCAGACCCTCCAAGCACATCAGATTCCCACGCCCCGAAATCACAAGCATACATGGCTCAACCCCAACCCTCCGATATTGGCTTCGGCTACATATCGGAAAATCAAAGACAATCTCAAGGTGTTCCGGTCGAGATGCCACTTACACCATCATCACCATTGAAAAGCGCATTAAGAGTACCCGGTACGCCGGGAAGAATGATGAACCCACTAAGTCCGACATTCCGAGAAGAACAGGTTCTAGAAAAGCATGAGGAAATGACTGAGAAGGAACAAGTCAAGGACTTGGTATGAGAATCTTCAAGACAATGATCTTGATTCATACTAACAACTGAGCAGAAAGTCAAGACCAGAGTCAGAATAGCAAAGCTACTACTAAGATTTGTAAATTTCAGCTGTAGTCTAATCGTTCTCGCCATGATCTCAACTTCCGTCACCATCTTCAACGCAACCAAAACATTACCAGCCCGAAGCAATCTTCCGCCCTGGGCAGAGGGCACAAAGACTTGGCCTCAGATAGTCGTTCTTTCAGTATCCTGTGTATCACTTGCACTTTGTCTCGTCGTCTTTTACAATTATTGGAGAGGAGGTCACAAGCGAGCAGAGAAGGTTGCGGTTTATTATACGCTCTTTGCAGTCGCCTACTTCATCTTCAGTACAGTTATGTGGGCAGTAGCAGCTGGTATCTTGCAAGGTGCAAGAAACTCCGGAAATAATAAAGATATCTGGGGCTGGTCATGTGTCGACAATAAAAGACGAGAAATCTTTCAAGAAGAAGTGGACTATGCCTTAGTCTGCCGATTGCAAGTGAGTTTCTCCCCTCGTTCAATTCATGCTTGTAATTCATTCTAACATCTCCACTCTAGTCCTGGGGTCTCGTATGTTGCATCATCGAAGTCGTCCTCGAATCCATCACCATCGCCATCTACGGCGTCGTCTTCTACCGCTACTATTCCAAACAGCGACTTCGCAAGTCCATGGCCGTTCGCGATCGCGCTCGTTCAGATCTGTACCTCGCTCAACTCCGTTCCCAATCTGCACCCAACACGCCTGGTTTTGGCCCCTTGAGCCCCTCCTACTCTCAATATGCCAAATCGCCGAAATTCCCACCGAGCGCGTACCAGAATGGTCCAGATGCCGAGGAGGGTAATGGAACGAGATTTGTAGAGGCAAAAACGTATGGTGGAATGAGTGCAGCGAAGCCATTTACCCTACAAGCACCTCCGATTAAAGTACAAAGCGCCACGCCGAAGATGGATCAGGGCGGATTCGAAGCTCAGACTCCGCCGCCACCACCTCAGCAGCAACGACAACAGAGAGTTGTGGAACATGTGGATGCAGCGCCTGGCGAACAAACTTACGCTAGTGTACCGATACCCGGTGCATATGCTAGTCCGCTTCCAGGTTCGGGGAGATAGAATTGTTGGGGAATAAGAAGGTGTGAATGTAGATAATTTACTTGGTTCTGTGGTGTGAGGGGGTGGGTGGATAGTTTTTGGAATTCTTGGGCTGGGACTTGGATTTGATTTTGAGTTCTCGTGTGTGATTGGTGTCTAGGACATACTCACCACACACCCATACTTTATATTGTCATTTATTTTCTTTTTCTCTATTTCTTTTTGGACTACCTTTTTGATGGTCGGAGTTTGGTCGGTTGGTTGGAAGATACTCCCTATAACGCTGCAGTCGTTTACAATTTTCTTTTTTATTTACTTCAATAGTTAAAGTGTATGGATGGATGGACGGATGGATGAAAGGGTGTGGATGAAGGGGCTAGGGGTAGCATTACACTACCACAGTATATTAGCGGATGAAACAACCGAACGAACAACCCAGGGGAGAGAGATGAGAGGAAGGACAGGATAAACACATCCACCCCAACGAAACCTGGACTCCGCAAGAAACCAGAGAAAGCAAAAAGAAACCCCCACTCGTTGAAAAGAAAGAAGCTGGACTTGAAATCTACATTAATATTGCTGGATGCAATTTTGGAAATACCATACGCATAGGAATCTGGAGGTGGAAAGATTCGCTAGCTAGATTGATTGCGCAATGAAAATGAAAGAATACCTACTATTTATCTATCATACCTTTAGAATTTTCTTGTTGCTTGTCTCTCGATGCGCGATTTTCGTTGATTTGATCCTCGTTTCATCAAATCCCATTCCATTCCATTTCATACCCACAAACTCACATCACAGCATCACATCACATTACATTAACGAGAAATCCACATCTCGAATCTTCTCTTTTCTTTCCCCACAAACCAATTTCCCTCTTTCCACACTCATCTCTCAATTTCTCTTCCTATTGCAATGCAATAGAAGCTATCCATCCCTAGTCTAGTCCACCACACACACATATGTAATCTTATATACAACTTGCAAGCCACCCGCTCTCCAAAACCCCAAGATTCCACAATCTGAAAAGTCTCTCTTAACAGCATCCCAGCGTCACATTGATGAAACCCCATCACACCACTTTGTCCTTCTCCCTAGCTTCTAACATGTATGATAATGTTGGAATCGACGTCTCATTTCCTTTTCTCTCCCTTGTATATAATCCATCTTTTATTTTATTTTATTTTCTTATACTCGTACATAATGTCTAATACCCACTCGTAAACAACATTTCCTTTTATGAATCATAGCATTTTACATTTTTCTGGTAAATTGGTATGATACGATGATACGATATGATGCTAATGAGCTAGGCAGTCATCAATCAAGACGCGCACCATCTTCAACTACATGCGACCAACATAGTAGAACATATTGTTCCCCTACTCCCACTCCTACTCTTTCTTCTCACTTGTCGTTATAATCTGCCTCTCCTCCTCTCCACTCCTGCCCCGTTCATAATCACCTTAAGAATCCCATCATTTCACATGCTCAACACCCACAACTCTCCTCTCAATCAACCTATTGACTTTCTCACCTCTCACCTCTCACCTTACCCCTCCCTCCCCCCTTCTCATATCTCGTTTCCCCTTTCTCATTTCCAAATATATCTCCTCACCTAACCACCACCTAGCACCCACGCATCCCCAGAAATGAAATCCGTGCCACAATCCGTGCCGCAGACCAACATGTTAACCAACGAATGTTTTGATTCTCGCCCCTTGGAAGATTTGATTGTTAGCCCTTTTGCATCCGTATCCGGATGGAACCGGGCTGGGTTGTTGTATAGCTTGTGTTAGATACTTGTATAGTATGCAATGTATATATATATACCGTCTTAACTCGACAAACTTGGAACCTACCTAACCGTATATTCTAGACCATCCAAAAGTTTAGTCTCTTGTAGTATTTGTGAGGAGTGATTGAACAGTTCTTAAGAACAAAAAGTGTCTTAAAGCTCGATTAGACATCAATGCAACGAACATGTATAGACTTCTTTGGCCAAATTCAAAAATGCAAAAATCGTGATCTTTTTATTGAATAGGTATCAGCTCGTAATTGCATTAAGAATTCCACCCATCATTCGTCTGTCTTCATCTTTTGCATTACTTTACCCCTCTAGATAAAATGCACAAACGTACGCACGCACGCAATCTCTGATATCTTTTTGATACTCCAGCATCCGCATCTCCCATAGCCCATAACCCATTGTACGAGTACAGTGTAGCAAAGCGCCCCCCCATCTCACAAATCTCCTCATTTCCCTCATCTCTCTCACTCAAGTGCCACGCCGCAAATTTATTTTCCAACGGCCTTCTCAACCTTTGCCTCAGCCTTCTTCACAACCTCCACGACACTCTCCTTAACACCCTCTACTCCAGTTCCAATCTTTGCCTTGGCTTCGGCCTCTTTACCTCCCCATCGATGGTATTGCATCCATCTGTATCCCTGTGTGAGTTGTGCGCCTTCATTTACGAAGTGGCAGAGAAAGAGAAGAGGATTAAGTGGTGTGACAGCGAGGGAGTAGCGCATGAAGGTTGCTGAGTAAATGCAAAGTGCCAAAGTCATTTTGCCCGAAATCCTATTTGCAAAGAGATTGTTAGCCACTTGGTTTTAAAAATATGAATTTGAAGTAGGAAGAGGGAAGAAGTCAGAGACATACAAATCAGGACTCTTTTGCGTGTCCATTACTGCGGCGATGGGAATACCGAAGTTGGAGACTGGACCCCAGAAATCTGATCGTAGTGTTAGTAGATAATCTCATGTATATATTCCATACGCTCTATGAGATTCCAGAGTTGCGAATGCGAAATCTGGATTTTGGAATCCGAGTTTCTCGAACCCGTCAATTCCCCACCCATTTCCCTCATTCTCACTCTCAATCTTTCCCAATACTGGAATCAACTTTCACCTCCTCAGATCACTTCAAGTTCTCCACGCAGCTCTCAATTTGATCCTGCCAATGCCCACCCATCCCGGAATCCCAGCTCTCTCTCTCTCCTCCCCTCTTTCCCAGTTTAAAAAGAATAAATGAACTTACGAGTAGAACAAACATAGCTAACCGCAGGGTTACTACGAATCTTCGCATTAATAGCTTTGACCAACGCAGCCATCTTGAATATTTTTCGAGGTATTCTGGATGGTGATGTGATTGTTGTTGTTTGATACCCAGCTGCCAAAAGAGGTTTTGATGGGACGGACGGAACTACGTGCTGGGATCGGATTTACCCTGAATTTGTCCGAGATTATATTTTGAGGTTGTGTCACGTGGTGACGGAACTGGATTTTGATGGGTGAGTTTTTGGGGAAAATGAGAAGAGAGAATGCTAAGTTTAAATCAATTTAATGATATGATTGAGAACTGCAACACCTGCAATGGGAGACTGAGCAAAATTATATAGAATTCAATTAGCGTTGTCGCGTTGCTTGCTTGCTTTTATGCTACAAATTTGCGAATTTTGGTATGTGAAGTCAAAAGCTACCCCTCAACGCCTTTATTCTGATTGAATTTAACCTTCTCTGCAATGCTCCCATCATGCATGTCCATGAGCTTCCTTTGGATCTCTCTTCTCTTATTTCTTCACCGATCATCATGTTCAATTTACCTTGACCCTTCATCAGATTATATGCAGCATGATCCTCTGAGAACATTCTTTTTAAGATTCAATTTGACATGATCGTGTAACCCATTATTCTCCAGACATCTATCTGCGAGGTGGAGCGAAACCTCCTGGTGGACCAGGTGGACCAGGGAATCCTGGAGGAGGGAATCCACCACCAAATCCTGGAGGTGGTGCACCTCTTCCAAATGGCGGAGGAGCTGGCATACCCGGGAAACCACCAATTCCAACAGCAGGACCAGCCAAGCCCCCTCTTCCAGCAGCTGGTCGCGCGATTCCAGTTCCAGCAGCCATAGCAGCTGATGGTACAGCACCACCTGGGACGCTGGCACCTAAACGAGAACTTGGATCTGCTGGTGGGGGTGATTCGACAGAAAGAGATATAACGTGTGTCCCCCGAATAATAGTAAGACCCAATGTACGCTTTTCTTCGGTTTCAACAAGAGGTGGTGCAGTGGAACTAGCTCCAGGTGCAGCTGTAGTTTTTGGTGCCTTGCGCTTGACGCGTCTGAATTCTTCGGTATCGGCGAGAACGAGGTTCATGTGCTATTGAATAGTTAGCATGACCCATTGGGATTGATGCATGGGAATTCGACCTTATCAAATGCTAACATCTGTCCGACCATTTGACGACCATCATTCATAGTCACTCTCATCCGGTAGTTGATCTATAACTCAATCAGTCCACATCTCAGGTCGAAAGGATCGCGCAAAGCTGCAATAGCTGCATTGAAGGATATCACATACGAGACCGGCCTGTAGAAAGAGTAAATGTCAGCCTATAATGTCAACACAAGCTTGTAATGGTTTCAAGAAGGGGGTATTAAACTCACCATCTTTCCCTGCTTGTTCGCCATGATGATGACTTTTGAGTGCGCGTTATTACGGCTCTCTGGTTTTCAAAGAATGTGTATAGAAGCTCGATGACTTCTTTTGATTTCACAGCTCTATTATGAGTATATGAGTTCTTGATATGAGGTTCTTCAAGATTGTACAAGGCTGGCTCGAGCTTCAAATGAAAAAGTATTGAAGCCTCAAACACGAGGCTACAAGAAATGCTTACCTAAACATCGTCGCCCACCTTTTAGGGTTTGTGCACTTATTAGCGAATATAACTTTTTGGTCCTTTTCGAATTTGTTTTTGAATTTGACGACCCACGACGAAAAACGACAATTCCTCACGACTAATCGTAACAGCATCATTCAAAATGGCTGCATCCGGAGAGAAGACCGCAAACCCCATGAAGGAGCTTAAAATCCAGAAGCTCGTTCTCAACATCTCCGTCGGAGAATCTGGTGACAGACTTACCCGTGCTGCCAAAGTTTTGGAACAATTGAGTGGTCAAACCCCCGTTTACAGTATGCATGCACCAATTTCAGCAATTATTCATTGGAAATTCCTTAACATTTAAACCACAGGCAAGGCCAGATACACTGTCCGTACCTTCGGTATCCGTCGTAACGAAAAGATCGCTGTTCACGTCACCGTCCGTGGCCCAAAGGCTGAGGAAATTTTGGAGCGTGGATTGAAGGTCAAGGAATATGAGCTCCGCAAGCGCAACTTCTCCGAGACCGGTAACTTCGGTTTCGGTATCTCCGAACACATCGATCTCGGTATCAAGTACGACCCTGCGATCGGTATTTACGGAATGGATTTCTACGCCTGCATGACCCGCCCAGGTGAGCGTGTTGCCAAGCGTCGTCGCTGCAAGACCTCCATTGGTGCCAACCACAAGATCAAGCGTGATGAGACTGTCAAGTATGTGTTTACTGAAAAAATTAATGTCGATTATTATGCTAACATTCTAACCTAGATGGTTCAAGAACCGTTTCGAGGGTATCGTCAGATAAGCGTTTCGATCAAAAAATATGGCATGGGCTTCGAGTATATCGATTCGGCGAGTTCTTTAGGATTTTGTCGTAACGTGGGCTTATGGAGTTATTGACAGGAAAACAAGGGGCATCATTGGTTGTACTTTACTGCATCTACGGATCAGATTACAATGAAGCAGTTCATCCAACTGTTCAGCTTGCTTCCTATTCGGATCAAGACTGCGGCCTTAGAGACCGACCGGCTTGCCGGCTTTTCTTGCAAGTGCTGATTGCATATTTGTGATATGAAATAAAACAAAATTCACACCAACCTCACATCTTAACTTGCTTGTTATTGGTGATATTATGAACAGATAGGTGTAATATCGCAGGTACTGGAGCAAAGCGATGGAATATATATGAGCCAAGTATAGTATTTCTTTACTGCAGCGCATTGAAAATGAAGAGTCCGAGATTCCAGATTGCTCTAGATTCATTGATGGGTGTGCAATAGAATAGATTTATAGCAAAATTAAAATCAATCTTCAACACTCTCAATCTAAACCAGTTCTTGTGAATGTCGAAAGTATTCAACCATACCTTCGAACAAACAAAGATCTGTGAGCAATAAAAGATGTCTTGCCATATATTTGAGATTGCACAAGTGTGTAGAGATTTCATGGAGTATACTAGTTATTTACTAGCTTTACTCAACACTCTTCGGGACTTCTTGATGTTCGAGAGATGGAATTTAGAAGTGAAGTCAACTTGGCCAGAATACTACAAAGTATCTGTACTTCAATGATTTTCGGAGCAATGTTTGAAGTCTATGGACTATTGTTTCTTCTTTTCATCTTCCTTTCTTTTCCACGAGAATATTATATACTACAATTTGGAACAGGAATGAAGATAATATGAAAAGAGACTCGAGTGCAATGAGCAAAAGAGGGTTTGAGGGCTTGTCTCTATATTGTCTTACAAGCTGTCAATTAAATTTCTATTAATGGATTGGAGAATGATAAATGGAGAATGACGCTCCGCTGGCTCTCCGAGGGCCACTGCCGTGGAGGCAGACTACTTCGAAAAAAGAAAATCAAATCATTCATTCATCGATTTCTACTCATGCCTCCAGGATACTTTGAATCTTTCGATATCAGAAACCGCAGACGGGAGTGAAAATCCAAGTCGGCCATCGGAAGTTTAAAACGCCGATGATCAAGGGTTAACCTTATCGCAAAGTTTATCTCTCTGATTCCCCAAATAAATGCATGGTGCGGTATGGTAGTCAATTCGTCATTGGTTTCTATGGATCCCCCCACATTCCAAGTTCACCACCACATCATTGGAATCAATGCTCGTGCTCGATCGATGGACCTCAATAGACTTCGATTTCTATCTCCAACTGAATTGTTCTTTGATATGATGATGCCTTGTGGATGGTTTAGTATGAGAAGTGGGAAAGCATAAATTGATACTCCCCTGCTTAGATAATAGTACGAATACGACAATGCTTTGGTTTGATGAAGTGTTCAAGATGAGACCCTTGATTTTCAACATGGTATACGATATGCCTGTCTAGTAAGTACATAGTAGAGAATCACGCCAGGTTTGCGGGGTAAAGTGATACTTTGACGTGAGATGTGTATTCGAAGATTTGGCTCTGATTTGGTGTACAGGATCGAAGATCGAAAAACATGTCATGAATCATAATTGTGAGTCGATTGATTGGATCAAAATGAATTCCTTTTCCAAGATCTCCTTTGTTTGATAGGTGAAGATAGAGTTTGATTGGCAAGGGGGTTGCGGATCGTATGCTATTGGATCTATCTGCACATGAAGCTTGAGGGGTTTGGAGGCTCGGACTAGCTGGCTGGGAATTGGTGGAGGGGAGGGGGGAGGTGGGGGATAGGAGAGATGTATAGAAGTATATTAGGAGAGCTTTTCTCGTGTTGGTTTTAATTTCCTATCTACATCTCATCAACAATCTCAATACAAATACCAATTGTCTTTACTACGTGTCAATCACAGAGTATCAATATAACACATTACAATACATTTCAATCAATCAGTCAACCAACCAACCAGCAACAATGAATTCCCAACAAACATCCGCAGTCAAGGGAGGAACTGGCAGCATTGCTACTCCAGCCAACAACGTCAATTACAGACGTGTATGTCTCCCTCACTTCTTTCCTTCCCTTCCAATACTCTCCTCACCAAGATGAACACACTTCATGCACACACCACACCAATTCACTCATACATTCATACTCCACACACTTCTTCCACTCAGAACCCCTCACTAATCATCAACATACAACATAGGGCTCTCAAGAAGGAACTCTCTTCTCCGGACTCCAGGCACAGAAGCGCTCGAATAGTGATGCGGCTACAAAAGCCAGACGAGAGAGTTTTGCAGAGCAAGCTCCTAAGGCGGGTTTCGTGGGACAGATGTGGAATTCGTAAGTGTTTTGTAATCCTTCTTTCGCTGTGTTGTTTGAAGAGGAGGGGAGAGATAAGTGGGCAGGGAATGTAGGGGCTTAGGATTGAATGGAACTTGGGCTAATGTTTGTGAATGTAGAATTGTCAAGGGGCAGTGATTCAAAATGGTATTTGGGGATATGAGGGGGAGAGATAGAGTGTGCGGATATGGATATGCTTAGAGCTATGGGTGTGAATGTGGGTGATTTGAGAAATCTAGCACAGGCGTCAGGAGAACGAATGTACAACGGGTGGAAGAGGGGATACAAGGTCGATTTACAACGATAGCGGGCATTTGTTATTGCTAGCGACGCAGTATGAACGGTGTTCGGATTTGGCGACTGGAAGATAGGGATGAAGATGGCTGACGTCTATTATTCATTATGATAACCCTTTAAATTATATCAAAAACAATTTCAAAACTTATCTATCTATCTGTTTATTCACATTATCACCTTGTATCGCATCACATTGTCCTGTGATATCATTCCCCATAATTTGAAATAACCAAATTCCTAATCCACTCCACACACATACACATACGAGTACACAAATTTACAATCCCTAAATCCACAAATCCCATCAAACAACATTTCCACTCCCCATCCAAACCACCCACCACCACCCACCACCCCCGATCCCAACTCCCAATCTTCACATCTGACAAGGAACAATCAACACCAGATCGAGGGGTGAAGTAAGAAGTGGATTCTTCAGATCTTCGGGGACCACACTAGTGATGTTCCGGTATCGAGTAAGTACCGGGATACATCCAGGATCCGGAGGGGCCCTGACCCGTTGTGGGAATCTTGGTTGTGGGTGGGGAAGGAAGGGATGGGATGGGATGAAATGAAATGTATGACGAGTTGATTTTGGGTATCTGATGTATCGCAACGCAACGCAACTTTTGCGTTTCGATACTACTGTACTGGTAAGTTGTAACTTGTAACTTGTCACTAGGCAGATATACTTGAGAAAGCGTGCGAGTTTGAGAGGAGGAGGTAGATAGGGTAGGTAGATAGGGTGGGTATTCGTACTCGTAACATGATCTGATTGATTTGATATACAAATACTGTGCGATGCCATGTTATGTTATGTTATGTTATGCTATGCTATGCTATGACATAATGAGCAAAAGAAGGATCTCCTACCGAGATCCAAAATTCTGCGTGTATGTATGCACTAGTATGTAAGTGAGTAATTCCAATCGAATTGCCATATTTGGGGTAAAAGCTACTACTAGGTCGTTAGTAGAAAACCTTGTCTACGATACCTAGGTAGGTATCTCCATAGTATCAGGTACCGGACCGGGTTACTTTACTTTACTTTGGGTTTGGGATCGATGCGGCAGGAAGAAAAGAATTCTCGCCTCCCTTCTGCGGGTTTGTGGTATTAATAGTTTCTTGATTCATCTGGTTTTATTTTGTTGGTAACTTTATATTTACATTGATTGGTATTTTGTACAGCTGAAGACGAATTGGGACTCGAATTACTTTTTGCTCTCTTTTACACTTGTAATTATATTTATCTTCTGTCTATTTATTAAGAAGAGAACTCTCTTGTATTTGGGAATCGAATACTAGTATTTCATTCATACATATATACATATACACATACGAATCTAGACAAAATGTCCAACTCCAACGACCATTCCCACGACGACATGAAAAGCACATCTGCTCTAAGCGATTTGCTGCCTTCGTTTAAAACTCCTGGGGGTAAGATTCCTATTCCTTCTTCCCTCATTTTCCCATTTCTCTGCGCCTTTTTTCCCTTCCCTTCGCTCTTTACATGATTACCTATTACTAACGTCAAATCCCAGTACAAAACATAGAATCGGCATATTCCCGCGCCGGAGCGACGAATAATCATACGCCTGGCCACGCTTCAGCACTCGGTTCGCAGTCGCAGAAACCGGGGAGTGAAGTGGCGCAGGGGGTGGGGAGTGAGAAGTTTAGTGAGGGGTTTAGTGATCAGAGGGTTGAGGTGAGAATTTCTTTTTTCTTGTCTTTTTTTTCCTCCATAGAAGAGAGATGGGTGGGGAGGGGGATGATTGTGGGTTGTTGAACTGGAAAGGAGAGTCTGGAGAGGGACTGGTGACGGGGGGGTATATGGTGTTGGGTGTGGGTATTGGGTCAAGTACTTTTGGGCAAATTCGAGAGGATAGGGGGTGATGTGTTCTGCAAGAGGAAATGTTTAGGTGAAGATAGAACATTTGGATTCGGGCTAATACTTGTGCAATTATAGCCATCTGCTGTTGGCAAACTATTTAATAACTTAATCAATGGTACGGATAAATCGAAGTGAGGTTTCGACTTTGGCAGAGAGGAAGATTGCAAATCCTGGGGTTGATTGGTGCAGCACATAACTGAGTGTGCACTCTCATCTTGGAATGATGTGAGTTCAGGGACAGGATTCGGGGATAGATGAAAAAGTGTTATGGTATCATTAAGGAATTACAGTGTATGATATATAGGATGTACGAATAGAAGATTTTAAGCGTTATGCGTATGACACTTTGTACTTTAAGAATATAACCTTATAACTTGTCAATGGATAGATATTTGGTACATGAGCTCAATCAACTACATTGCTATTTCTAATAAATACATCCATCACAATCCACCACCATACATAACAAATCTTACGTTACAAATTTCAGCCACAAAACCTCTCTATGTATAGTATACACAGTCACCATCATACCCTCCCTCCTATAATCCACACCTCCAAAAATCAAACATCCATCCCCTTTTCACTCGCCTAACATGGTCGGGCCGACGAATTCCTCCCGTCTAAGCATAAATATACACTACCGAGCTGATCACTTCCTCGCATATCCTTGACGCAAGATATGTATGTCGTACTTCGTTTCTTTCTTTCTTTCTTTCTTTCTTTCTTTCTTTCCCTTATCCTCGTACATTGCACATTCTGAAAAATATATCTGATCTAACTTAAGTTAGATTGCCGTAATTCGGTGGTTTAGGTTGATACAAACTCAGGTTAATACGATCAACACCACGAGATCTCATGGGTTTAATGATTTAGGTACTGAGTATGTAGTATGTATATATATGTATGTATACAAAGCAAATCTCCAACGGGAAGATAAATAAACAAGTAGAAAAACAGAAGAGCGAGATGGAAATCACATACACATACACATATACCTACAACTAGATAACTACTCGAGTATATATACATACGACTACTCTCTATCTTAATAAATGTGATGGATTCCACATATCTTCCTCTGTCGGGGGGAGATACTGTACTGTGTGGATTTTCTTGCGGTGTGCGGATGGATGGATGGATGGATGGATGGATGGAGGGATGGATGAGCTGGTGTTGAGATTGAGATTGAAATTGAAATTGCTGTTGATGATGATATTGGTATCAAAAAAGCATGAAAATAAAACAAGAAGAGGAATAAAAAGAGAGATAGATAGGAAATATAGAAACTGAAAAGTGATGTAGCGATTCATGATAGGAATGAATGAGAGGAGGGGAAGGGGAAGTGTATACAAGTACTAAAACAGTAAAACATCGGGAAGATATAAAATCAGAGTGGAGCATAAGAGCATACCAGAACATACCAGACCATCCTATATATCAACAATCGATAAAAAGAAATCCGAATAACTCATACATACATACCCAACTACGTTGAACTTTTCGCGGATGAAGAAGGGGGTGGAGGGATGGGGAGCAAAAGATGGATATTCTGTTGTATTTTACCTTTATATATTCTATGCATTTTTATTGCTATATTCGTCGCCTTTCGCTTCTTCATTTCAACGTGTCTGAGTTCTGGGAACATGAAAGGGGAGAGAACCCTATTTTCTTCAAAAAAAAAAATTTACCTTCTCTTGACATCAATTCCAAATCCATTACACACCCGCACTCACACACCCAATCCATCACTACAACTCCAAACAAACAAGACCATCATACAACAAGATCTGAACTGAGTTCCTAATCATCACATCCGAATCCAGTATACAGTATGCAGCATCTCCAAATCGCTCCAAAGTTCGAAGACGAGAATCTCACCAGCCAGAGAATTCCCCACGGTAGTCCTCGTATCTGTGTCCAAAGAGCAGAGAATGAATGAATGAATGAATAAATAAATAAATGAAAGATATATACATCGCCTTCTAATATCCAATTCTAACAACCCAATCAAGAAAGATGCTATGATATCATCCATCCATCTAACCATCAAAGAATGTTTCTCGATCGACAGGCCACCAGGACAGACAGATAAAAGTATTGATTAACATTCATTTACACAAGATATCAGGCGACCCTATGTCAGATGTGATAGCAGTAGGAGTAGTAGATACAACAAAAGTCCAAGATTCTCTTGTATGGATACGACGAAGTTTAAACCAAACCAAGTCCAAAGAGTAGCTTCATACGATGATACAAGACTACCCTGCATTCCTATGCTCTCCGAGAGCTAATTCGTATCATCTCATCTCATCTCATTTCTCTCTTGCTCTCATTTTATTTCATTTCACCCCAGAAAATAAAATAAAAAGTGCGAAGCTATGTACTCAAGTACGTGTATCATTCTCATATCGCATCATATCGCATCATATCGCATCATATCGCATCGCATCGCACCACCTTACTAAGATCTATGTAGCGAGACGAGTAGCGATGTAAGAACTACTTATTTAGTACTTAGCACATGCTACCCTTCCGTCTCAGTTGCGAAATGAAGTCAACTCCCCCTCTTCCACATGTATCCCTCCAGGTATCAACATCATCACACCCCCCTCCTTCATATCTTCCTCCCATTTCTACGCAAGAAATATATAGAAACCCATAAACTATAAACTACAACTCATCTAACAACGCTTTAATAAATTCCACAAGAAATTGAAAATTTCCACCCATACCCCTTTAAAATCCCACAACAAAACCTCTCTACCCTCCCATCTACAAAATACTCTCCTACGCACACGCGCACATATACATACAGACCGCACCACATTACTATTCCAAAATAAAACTCAAATTCAATGATCAAGATTCCATCCACCCACCCATCTCATAAACAAGCAAAAAACAAAAACAAACAGACAAAAACAAACAAACATAAAAAACCGAAATACCCTCTCTGCAATTCTCACACTCCAAATTCTCATAAACATTCAATTCAATTCAATTCAATTCAAATTCGTTCAATCTAACCTAATTCAATTCATTCTTAAAACATCCTCACATATAAGATTGCAAGAGCACGAAAAAATGTAAACTTTCCAGCTCACCTTCCTCCCTACCATCTCCACCATTCAATCACCTCGTAACTAATCTTCGTCTCTCTTTCTTATTAGAATGACTTGATAAGAAAGATGATATAGAAATAGGTGCCGTAATGATTGAGACTGTGTGATGAGTTTGACAACTATCATTCTGGCATCCTCTCCTTCGGGCATATAGTAATCAAATCCATGGAATGGATGCAAGTCTTCACTGGAGGACTTCGGATTTACAAATTCTCAATGCCGAGTTGTGACTTACTTGTGGATGAACTTGTCGGAGTATCATCACAGAAGAGATAATGTGACCAAAAAGTGTTTGTTGGTCACCTTCCATAGGCAAGATGCATGGTTTTGTTCATTATGTAAATTTGGCTTTTCATTCAGCTATCATAAATATGAAGAAAAACCTCCATCCAAATATGTGTATGGGAATCCTTCATGAATCGTCGTATCTATCAATCAATCTCATGCCTTCATACCAGGTATCTAGTTATTCATTTATTGGTAACTAAAACACCAATTTACAGCTTGTTAGGAGCGGTTTGGGTGGTTGGCCATTGGTAGCCAGCTGCGTCGCTAAACTTGTATCCGTAGGAAGAGGTGAAGTCATCCAAGACGGCGGGTCCACGAGAGCCTATTATCAGATTAGTTTTTTGTTGGTTTAAAAGTACAGGGTGAATAATGTGAATGTTTCTTACCGTATGGGTATTCCATGGGGATAATCTCCTTGTTATCGTCGAGGTAATGTAAGAGTGGGGTAAAGATTCTCCAACTTGCATCAAGCTCATCATCACGAACAAAGTTGGAGTGATCACCCTTAAGAGCATCAAGAATGAGGGATTCATATGCTTCTGGGATCTTGAGATCAGAGAATCGGCGGCGGTAAGTCAAGTCGAGTTCAGTGACAACAGTTTGCATGCTCAAACCTGGCAACTTGGAGTTCATCTTAATATAAACACTCTCGTTTGGTTGAATGCGCATAACAAGCTCGTTTCTTGGGATATCTTTGAAGATACCAGATGTGACATCCTTGAATTGAATTCGGATCTCGGTCTTTTGCTCGTTAAGAGCCTTACCAGCCTTTAGGATGAATGGAACACCGTCCCATCGCTCGTTCTTGATATATGCAACCATAGCACAGAAGGTGGGGCACCTCGAGTCCTTTGGTACGGTGTCGTCTTCCTTGTAGGAAGGCTTGTTTCCGTCTAAGGATTTGCCATATTGACCAATGATGACATTCTTTGGCTCGATTGCTGGAATACCGCGGAGGACTCGGACCTTTTCGTCTCTAACATCCTCTGCAGAGAATGAGATTGGTCTCTCCATGGCGAGGAGGGTGAGGACTTGTAAAAGATGGTTTTGCATAACATCTCTGATGATACCGAATTCGTCGAAATAACCTCCTCGGCCTTCGGTTCCAAAAGGTTCCTTGAATGTGATTTGAACATTATCAATGTGGTTTCGGTTCCACGTAGCACCGAAAAACTCGTTACCAAATCTCAAAATCAAAATGTTCTTGACCATCTCCTTTCCAAGGTAATGATCGATACGGAAGATCTCATCTTCCTTCCAGTTTGGCTCCAATGCCTTTTGTAACTCGCGGGAACTTCCCAAATCCTTTCCAAATGGCTTCTCAACCTACAAGTTGTTAGCAATACTATTCAATCGTGTGAAAATCTTGTATCTTACAATGATTCTTGCAACACCGGTCTCTGGATAGACGTTGGCTTTTAGTTGTTGGGATACAGTTGTGAAGACGGAAGGAGGTAAGGCCATGTAGAAGATTCTGTTGGCCTCTTTTCTTCCCTTTTCGAACTCCTCGCAGTGTTTTCTTAGCTCGATGAAACCCTCTGGCTTATCATACTGTCCAGAGATATATGTACAGATATCGCAGAACTCTTGAAGTTGCTGTTCCATATCTTTGGTGGGAGTCTTGATATATGATCTAACTCTCTTAATGTATTCCTCGTGGTCCATCTTCGTTCGCGCATATCCAACGATTCTGACATCCTTTGGGAGGAATTGGTTGCGATA